GATAATGGCAACAAGAATGATTGACAACTGGAAAATAGAAGGAACCGTGGAGGCCGTGACAGACTTTGTATTTCTAGGGGCAAAGATTACTGCAGATGCAGACTGTAGCCAGGAAATCAGAAGACGCTTACTTCTTGGGAGGAGAGCAATGTCCAGTCTCGATAAAATAGTAAAGAGTAGAGACATCAGACTGGCAACAAAGATCCGCCTAGTCAAAGCCATGGTATTCCCTGTAGTAACCTACGGATGTGAGAGCTGGACCTTAGGGAAGGCTGAGCGAAGGAAGATCGACGCTTTTGAACTGTGGTGTTGGAGGAAAGTGCTGAGAGTGCCTTGGACTGCGAGAAGATCCAACCAGTCCATCCTCCAGGAAATAAAGCCCGACTGCTCATTGGAGGGAAAGATACTAGAGACAAAGTTGAAGTACTTTGGCCACATCATGAGGAGACAGGAAAGCCTAGAGAAGACAATTATGCTGGGGAAAGTGGAAGGCAAAAGGAAGAGGGGCCGACCAAGGGCAAGATGGATGGATGGCATCCTTGAAGTGACTGGACTGACCTTGAGGGAGCTGGGGATGGTAACGGCCGACAGGGAGCTCTGGCGTGGGCTGGTCCATGAGGTCACGAAGAGTCGGAGACGACTGAACGAATGAACAACAATAACACGTCACATGCAGTGACATAAGATGTTTAACATTACTATTTTATAAAGAAGACAAAAATGAAGAAAATGAAATGATAATGTATGGCATTAATGGTCATCATTAATATTTTAATACTACTCTAAAGATAGTTCCAGCTTGAGATGCTCATGAATACCCTGGGCCAACTATGTAAAAATATACCAACTTCAAGTTATTACTTACCCATCGGTCTCTTCAGATTCTGTATTCCACATCAATGATACTGGGAATGGAACAGCATCTGTGATGGAGAACTCTCTGACTTTAAAAGCTGGAGACAGAATTGCACACTAAAGAACCAAAAACACAATGCACAAGTGTTATTGTTGGTCTTTTAACAGTTCTGCTCAAGCTAAGTAAGAGAAAAGAAGAGAGAATTGAACACTATATTATCTCATCCTAAGGGACATAATTGATTACTATCTATGAAGTTTACAATCATTGACTTAAGTCAAGGAATCTCTGACTCTGCAGAAGTTGCTAAACCCCCAAACTCCCATCAGCCTCAGCAAACATAATTGAAGATTAAGGTAAGTATAGTATAACACTAACAATAGCTGGAGAAACATATGTCCCCACACTATCACAAAGTGATATCCTGATGTGTAGAAACTGTATTTTATTAGCAGAATCAAATTACTATGTAATGCTGAATACCTAGTTAATAGGAAACAAGTTCCAACTATTGAAATTAACTGGAGCTCCTGGTGGTGCAGCAGGTTAAACCACTGAGCTGCTGAACTTGCTGACCAAAAGGTTGGTGGTTTGAATCTGGGGATTAGTGTGAGCTCCCGCTGTTAGCCCCAGTTTCTGTCAACCTAGCAGTTAAAAAACATGCAAATGTGAATAGATCAATAGGTACTGTTCCGGTAGAAAGGTAACAGCACTCCATGCAGTCATGCTGGCCACATGACCTTGGAGATGTCTATGGACAATGCTGGCTTTTCAGCTTAGAAATGGAGATGAGCACCACCCCCAGAGTTGGCCATGACTAGACTTAATGTCAAGGGGAAACTTTTATCTTATTATTGAAATTAAATATTTATTACTTTCATGTTTAACCATTTGAAGCTAATTTTACACTCACAACTAGACTAGCTGACACACTCTCAAATATATAAGCATATTAGCATGTAAAGAAACAGAGACATCAGCAGCATCTTAAAGATAAAAGAGACATATTATAGTAGCCATAAAATGTTTCCCTCTAAATCCACAAAGAAGAAAGTTAAGCAAAGGAAGCAACTATGATTTTGCCATACTGCAAATGGACCACTATGCATTATATAAGAGTATATAGCAAGATAGCTTTGTTTTCATTTGTCTTAGAGTACTGGATGGGTTTGAGCGAAACCATTAAGATCTCTTCACTTTGAATTCCTTAATGGTTGTGCTCAAACCATTAAGATCTCTTCACTTTGAATTCCAGGAGGCCCCGGTGGCGCAGTGGGTTAAACCCTTGTGCCGGCAGGACTGAAGACCGACAGATCGCAGGTTCAAATCTGGGGAGAGGCGGATGAGCTCCCTCTATCAACTCCAGCTCCTTATGTGGGGAAATGAGAGAAGTCTCCCACAAGGATGATAAAAACATCAAATCATCCGGACGTCACCTGGGCAACGACCTTGCAGACGGTCAATTCTTGCAGTTTCTCAAGTCGCTCCTGACACGACAAAAAAACTTTGAATTCCATCTCTCAAATATGTTTCTCTTTCTTCTTAAAGCTTAGTGCTGGCAATCATGAAACACATGTTTGCCTGAACAAAACAGTCACATCAGACCAATCTTTCATATTGTTTCAAAACAGCCTCCAACACAATGTGTTTCCACAGACTGACTCGTAAATAATCAAGAGCTGAGTCATCCAGTGATATCTTCTGAGAAAAAAGAGCTGCCATAATCTTACCTGCAACGCACAACCTCTTGCCACCGCTTCATCCGCATTCAACGTTGTGCTGACATCTTTGCCAAAGAACTTCCCAATCCTCTCCTTAACGGCTGGAATACGTGTGGCTCCACCTACAACTTCAATGGCATATACATCGTCCACTTTGAGATGGATTTGGTCCATTAAGGAACGAAGAGGAGCCTCTATTCTTTGCAAGAGGTCAGCACATAGTTCTTCAAACTGAGATCTAGAATGAAAAATGATCAATAAATGAGATTTGAGTTTTCCTTACAGTTAAATAAGACCCAATCAACCCTGATTGCTTACACAGAATGCTGTACAAGAGGAAGTTACTCTTCTACATCAATGGAAGAAGGAAAAGTTGTAGTTCTGAGACTGTTGATTCGTTTCTCTCAAAATGGGAATCAAAACAAAATATAAAAATCAAAACAAAATTATTTAAAAAAATAAATAAAAATGTTTAGAAAGTTGAGTTTCTATACATTGAGTTGCCTGTGGCATTGAAAGAAATTCATAAAAGGTAACGTTAGCAAAACTAGACATTATTAAAACCCCTTGAAATATAGAAGTTTCACTTGTTAATGAAAAAACAGCAAGGAGGTAGCCATCCCAGCTTCCAAAGCTTAGGAAACACTTTGAAAACCTGGGAACAGTCACTGAGAAGGGCCTGCAGATATGTTCAATGCTACGGAATCATTGGGAGTTGTACTTTGGTGAGACGCCAGCACTCTTTGGCAGAGAAAGCTAAAGACCTTGTAAACTGCAACTCCCATAATTCCATAGCACTGAATCATGGCAGTTAAAGTTGAGTCAAACTGCATTAATTCTACAGTGTAAATGAACCTTAGAAGTGGGGTAACTTCATACATGGAAATACACTACTTCAAATAGTTTGGACGTGAGTCATATAGTTTTATGGGTCAAAACAAGCACTTAGACTTTCCCCAGAAACAGACCGTCAGTAAGCAATATGGCTGCAATTCTTTGGGCCAACTGAATTCCTGAACCCTTTTCCAAAGGCAGTGAATCACAGAAACCAACCAGGATGAAACTAAGGCATGTACAATTACAGCCAAATCAGACATTTTCAAGATGGTTGGAGTTGGTACACTAGCTTTAATTAGGTATTCCACGCCTGACAAAAACAGATCAATTTCAACATTTATGTACAAGTTATCATTAACTTAACATTAGCAGAGAAGTCAGCACAGAGGCAATGCTGGAGTGTTTCACAGAGGTAGGAAGAGAACAGGATGACCTCTCTTAGAACACTCAAAATACAAGAAGGTACTATTTACATCATTTGTATACTGCTTTTCTCACCCGGGGAAGAGAAAAAAATCATGGCAAAATTTAATGTCTCACAAACATATAAAAACCTAACATAAAACAACAATAACATATAACTATCAATTAAATCATAAAATGTATCAATGTTTAGACATTAAAACATGAAATTAGAAAAACATTAATATAAACATTAAAATCACATAATCCAAAAAACACAGTCCAAGGCCCTTGCAATATCAAATATCAATTGCACATAACCCCTGCTCATTCCTTGTATTGCTTACTGCCCAAATGCTTGGTCTCACAGCTATGTTTTTGCTTTTTTCTGAAGGTCAGAGAGAGGGCACTGATCTAATTTCATTGGGGAGGGAGTTCCATAAATGAGGGGCCACAACTGAGAAGGCCATCTCTCATTCCCACCAGTTGCGCCTGCGAAGGAGGTGGAACAAAGAGCAGGGCCTCCCCGGACAATATTAATCTCCAAGATGGTTCATTGAGGGAGATACATTAGGACAGGTAAGCTGGACTGGAATTATTTAGGGCTTTATAGCTAAAGCCAGTACTTTGAACCGAATTTCCCACAACCCTGTTTTAAGATGTTTTATTGTATTTTTATTGAATTGTTTAATTGATTGTTTAACTGATATGTCATCAGCCCACTTTGGATGGGATTGAATGTTTGCTTTTAAGCTTTTTTATTGTTTTTATATTTGAATTGTTCAATTGATATGTCATGTTTATTACTGTCTGTTTAAACTGATATGCGAATTGTTTAAACTGATATATCATGTTTATTTTTATATTTGTAGTGTGGCATTGCCTTGGTCTGTAAGCTGCCCTGAGTCCCCCAATGGGGTGAGAAGGGCGGGGTATAAATGTAGTATAATAATAATAATAATAATAATAATAATAATGCTTGGTAGCAGACTGGCAGCCAGTGGAACTGGCACAGCAGTGGAGCTGTGTGCTCCCTGGCTGCCACCCGTTGGACCAACTGGAGCTTCTGAGCAGTCTTCAAAAGAAACCCCACGTAGAGCATGTTGCAGTAGCCTATTCAGGATGTTACCAGAGCGTGGGCTAGTGTGGCCAAGTCTGACTTCCCAAGGTATGGGTGCAACTGGTGCACAAGTTTTAATTGTGCAAAAGCTCCTCTGGCCACCCCTGAAACCTGAGGTTCCAGACTAAGCGATGAGTCCAGGATCACTCCCAAGCTGCAAAAACTTTGTCTTCAAGGAGAGTGTAACCCCATCCAGCACAGGCTGTAACCCTATGCCCTATTTGGCCTTATTACTGACCAGGAGTGCCTCTGTCCTCTCTGGATTTAGTTTCAATGTGTTTGCCCTCATCCAGAGTGTCACATTATACTGTATAATTCAGTAGAGATGCACAGCAGCAATGATGGGGAAGTCACCACATATTTCTATTGGTACAGCTTCCCAGAAAGCATTTATTTTACCTTCTTGGATTTACATTAATTCTAAAAACCTAACATAACTGCATGTTGGAAGATGAACAGCCAAGTTAATTAAGTACATCTTAACACATTACATAGCTAAACTATGGAATTTGCTAATTTGTCATTATGACCACCAAAAACAGGTGGCTTGAGAAGCAATGTAGATACATCAATAGAGGATAAGGCTGTCAACGGCTGTTGGTGACAACAACTACATATCTCTTCACTATCAGAGGCAGTACACCTCTTATGATGACTGCTGACAGTAGTCCCATTCTTTTTGGGAACTTCTGAAATGTACCTGGATGGCCAAAGTGAGAAGAGAATGCTGGACTAAACTGGCTTCTGCATAGTTCTTGCTTGTATCATGGAAACCACAATACCTACTTTCTTCCAACGCAATCTGTCTGCATACAAAGAATATCTTACCTATTCATCTTTCCAGACACATCTGTATCATTCATGAAACATTCAATATTAAGTGGAATGTCTGTGCTGTTTGAACTCATTAACTTTTTCAGCTTCTCACACTCCTGATGTAAACGGAGGAGTGCTCTTATTTTTGATTTCGGGTCCAGTTTGTACTTGGCTTTTATTTCAGCACAGAAGTGGTCCACCAGCTTCCCATCAAAGTTTTTTCCTCCAAGGAGAGGATCAAAAGCTGTACCAAGCACCTAGTTTGAAGAAAAGAATGGCATTTTAGCTGAGCTTCCCAAGATGATTGTTTACACTTTGAATGATAAGGTGGAGGTAATGATCTTACACTACACTTGAGTTGGATGAATCTCATTCCACAAATATAATTTGAAGGGGGAACAACAGGTTCTGTGATTCACTCTCAGAAATTGAACTTAATCGACCAATCTGCAGTCTGTACAATTTCCCAGTTATAGCATCAGCTTTATGACTTTAGAACCACAAGATACTTAAACCAGAAAGTATAATTACACTGCAATGTTCTGACAGCATGGATAAAATTAAAATCTTTTATATTTCAAACAGTCTCACTTAACATAAGATTTTTCACATTTTTTAAATTGACAGTTTCTTCTTCTTTTTTTCGGTATACCCTAGCAATAATTTTTTTTAGATCTGCCACCCAAAGTTCCAAGATGGCTGAGAGCTACTTATTTTATGTTTTATGCAACAAGGCCTGATACAGGAGAATGTACAAAAGCCCTTTGTTCCAATTCCAGACTGCAGACATCTTTATTGATTTGCTTGAAAAGGATTTTACAAAAAAAACTAGGTCATAGTGACTCTAAGGTTCTTCTCACCTTCAGTTTACCCTTGTTGAAAGCACAAGCTGATACTTGGAATGCCGAATGGCCCATATCTACAAACACTACTATTCGTGGTTTCTCTTCTGGAGCTGGAAGGTCTTGCTTGTAAATTCCATAGTTCAGAGCCACTAAAAAAGGGAAATAATCACCAGCTTTGCCAAGCTTCTTGCAATTACTGAATCTGAACAACATCAAGAACTGCAGATGGAACTTCTATATAGAGAGGTATGCCAAGGACTCCAATGCTGCTGATTTTAGTTTTTTAAAAACTGGTAGCCAGATTTTATTCATTTTCATGGTTTCCTCCTCTCTGTTGAAATTGTCCACATGCTTGTGGGTTTTAATGGTTTCTCTGTGTTGTCTGACATGGTTGTTAAAGTGGTACAGCATTTCTTTGTTCTCAAATAATATGCTGTGTCCAGGCTGGTTCATCAGAGTACCTGATCCACAAGCATGTGGACAATTTCAACAGAAAGGAGAAAATGATGAAAATGAACAAAATCTAGCTACCAGTATTTAAAAAACTCTAAAATCATGACAGTAAATAAAGAGCAACACTAAAAATTCCAAACAAGAATCAATTAGGGCCAGCTAAGACCTCCCAACAAAGGATTTCTCCAGGCAGCAATCAGCCAGGCTTTTGAAGCTTCAATGCCATTAAATGATAATCAAGGTGACCAGTTGCAACATTCACACTTGTCTCAAGCAGACAAGAGTTCTTTCTCCCACCCTGGACATTCCACAGATATATAAACCTCACTTGCCTAGATTCCAACAGACCTCTGAGGATGCCTGCCATAGATGTGGGCGAAATATCAGGAGAGAATGCTTCTGGAACATGGCCATGCAGCCCGGAAAAATCACAGCAACCCAAACTTTACTTACTTTAAAACATTTAACATATTACAATTGCCTTGTTACATGGACACACATTTTATCATAGAACCATAGACGGAATAACTTTCCCTTGCTTACCTGCGGTCATATCATTCATTAGTCTAAGGCAATTTAATCCAACAACCTGAGCAGCATCGAGCAGAGACCTCCTTTCAGCATCAGTGAAAAATGCTGGCACCTGAAGAAAGAAAGAGTAGACAGGAACATATTGGCCTTCTTAGAGGCATCAAAAAGGCTGATAAATTATTAGAAGCTAATTACTGCATTAAAGAGAAAACAGAAGGCTTCAAACTGAATTCCGACTAATTGACAGGTTTCGTAATACTTGTTTTTCGGGATTACAATAATCAGAATTCCCCAGCCATCAAGGCCAGTTAATATCATGCTTTTCCACAATTAGAAATCTGCATGGAATATATTTCACACATAAATAAATTGATTAAGTCTACAACACAAACCACCCTTTGGTGGGAAGGGTAAAATTACAGTGATCACCTGTTAAAGACTGAGTTGAAACCATTTTTTACAAACTTTATACCATTTGAATTAATATTTATGGAAAACACATTTATATTGACAAATATTTGTAAAAATGTAAATATTAATTATCTGTTGAGTATCTTACTGCATTTTGCCGCACTATAAGGTTTATGCGCTTAACTTTTGTTGTTACTTTGAAGCTATTTCACCTACATCTATGTGTGACCTTTGTACAGTTTTAACTGGACTTTTTATTGTTTTCCCTCTTTAATACTGATATGGGGGAATTCGACGCCTTCCACCCAGATTGCTCATTCTTCTGCATTTGATTAGCTTCCACAATGTTAAAATACTTTCATATCATTCTGTGAGTCCAGGTGTTGTCATATTTTTTTAAAAAACAGCCATATTCTAAGATGGTTAAAAGTTTATTCAACATAATATTCCAACATATAAGAGAAATCAAATGCTCCTAAGATTAAATGGAACTACTCACTGAAATAACACAGTCTGTTATGGGCTTTTTGAGGTTATTTTCAGCAGTCTCCTTCAGTTTAGTCAGTAGCATAGCTGTTATCTGCTCGACGCTGAATAAATGCTCATCGTCCATATATGTTACCTGCAAACATAATACAGGAGTAAACATTAAAGCAACTGAAATGCATCCAGTATTACTTTTGCATACCACTTACCACCAGGCCTTCTTAGCTTTCTTTCATCTATTCACTAGAACCTTTCAATTTTTGAACGTTATTAAGTTTCTGAGATTGCAAGAGGTTCAAAGCAATGTCATTTGTGGTCCCTTCAAACTATATAAATCTATGGCATTGCAGTCAAAATAATCAACTCAGAAGTTGAATTTTACAATTTTATTATAACAACAGAGGGGCAAAGAAGGCTAAACTAGAAAAATGGCAAAGTTCTTTCTGGGCCTGGTAAACCACACATTACCACATTATCTGAATGCAGCCAAGGAGCCAACTGTTCTAATACAATAGCTCTTAAACAGCACTTGAAGGCTTTAGTTGTTCTTCAACAATGCTTGAAAGTGAGAACCTTCGTTAATAGACTCAAATGTTTCTGTTGTGAGGGAGCAATGGGTGTCACAAGGTCTCGTACATTAATGTGCTATGTCTTAATGACTTTTTTGTGAGAAAACTGCAAGTCACTTCTGGTGTGACAGAACTGGCCATCTGCAAGGACATTGCCCAAGGGACACCCAGATGTTTTACCATCCATGTGGAAGGCTTTTCTCATGTCCCTGCATGGAGAGCTGGAGTTGACAGAGGGAGCCCATCCATGCTTTCACCGGATTCGAACCTGCGACCTGTCGGTCTTCAGTCCTGCCGGCACAAGGTTTTTAACCCACTGTGCTCCGGGGGCTCCTAATGACTAAAAACAATTACATCAATTCCTTATGCATTCTATTGTGCTGTTTAATAGAAATTGATCTATTGGTTTGATGTGTCTTTTGGGCAAACAGTAGTTCCTGGTGAGTTTTTAAGTGGAGAAATAGCCTAAGGGAAACAATCAACCTTTCTTGTCTGAAGATGCATTTAGTTTGGCCTTCAAATCTGACTTCAAGTTTTTCTTTAGAGGTCTACTTTTAAAGACATTTACTTTTATAGACATTTGTTGAATTGTGTGGAACTCATAGGTTAGAAAATGTAGATTGGCATCTGTAGATGTGAGGCATAAAACTAGTATTACTCTGACTCTGGTTCAAAGCGCAGAATTTTCACTGCCACATACATGGCAGACTCTGACTCCATTGGACTAACAGCACTTCTCCTGGGTTTCAGACTTCAGAAGCATAAGGCCTCCATTCATTATTGGGAATTAATTTCTAGAGTAAGCAAAAAGGAAGAAGCCAATGTGTTTTACCATTTTGTATACTGTTTTGAGCTAATACTATGCAACAATTAAATCCAGGGCAGCTAAGCTAATGGATTCTTTTACTTTTGTCAGCATCATGTTGGATCCAGGCAGATACCTGCTAATGCCAGGGAATGCTGCTGGGAGGTCCTTTATGCTAAGTATATGAAGTACAAGAGAGTTACAGTTTTACCCTATAGGCAGTTCCCAAGTTACAAATGACTCATAGTTAAGAATGGGGGTGAGACAATAGAAGTGAGAGAAATCTACCTCTAGGAAGGGAAATTCACACCTAAAGGAGTTATCATGGGGAAATAATGTCTCTACTGAAGCTTTATCACCAATCCTTGTTTTCACAAGAAGCCAATGTTTTCAAAATCATCACAGGGACAAAAAAAATGAGGTGAAATATTCTGAATAGGTGCACAGATCGCAAAACAAACACCACAGGGGTATTAACCTTTAACTGTGTTATTCAGGCATATAGCTATGTACGAATGTGTATATAACCGCTCTGAGTCACCCAAGGACTGAGAAGAGCGGTATACAAATATAGTAAATAAATAATAGTAAATAATAGGTATAAACATCAAACATTTAATGATCACAAATCAGCATTTGCAAGGCTTGCTAAACAGGCTGGTTTTCCTTTTTACAAAGTGAAGCTAAAGCATCTTCTGCAGAGCATACTAAACACTGCACAACAGCTTTGTGTAAATCTTTAAACGGCCACCAGGTAAACTTCAGAAAACTTTTACCATTGCCAAATTAAAGATAAGGAGACCTTGTCTAGGTAGGGACCCATCGTACGAAGCAGTATCCCTTCCTTGGTTTTCACCAATTGTATCCTAGCAGCTTCCCTCTGTTTGGACCTGTCCCAAACATACTCCCTGCCAAGCCTGCATGAATAATATTTGAAGTAGATGCAGAGAAGGCTGGGGAAACTCCGTTGGTGAACACAGTTCTATTCAATCTTATTTCATCATCTATTTAACTTATATCTTGCGTTTCTCCTGAATCGGACTCAATCTTCTTTGGAACCAACTGCTATTCACGATTTTTTTTCTTTCATTTTTTTCTGTAAAAAAATTCTTGATATGTGCACAAATGCATATCTACCTTTATTCCAACATTTCCATTTTTCATTGGAACCACACAGTAGCTCACATGTTCTTTCTCCTTCTGGACAAAAGAGTCACTAAATGCACGCCCATGGAATCTCTTGAAATTAAATACTGTGTTGTTGGCATGTGTAATTAGCTGCAAGAGGAAAGAAAAACAATATGGCTATGGAGATCTTTACTGACAAAATATTTACTAGCTATATAAAAATATTGAATGCCACTAAGATATACATGTAGTAATCCAACTTATTTGCCATTACTACACATGATAAATGTTATAAAAAACTATATTATATAATTATTGCTATATTCACTATCATGTATTCAAATCAAAATCAATAAGCTGCACTGATCAAAGTACTATGTTTTATTCTCCGTATCCACACACACAGAGATCAACAGTTTTAGTTGATGCTGAAACATCTAATAGCAAAAGAGAGCTTCTGTGGATATTATTATATGGGAAACACAAGCTATTTCCTGTGGCCCTTATGAGCTTGGATAACTAAGGGTGTTCCTCTCAAGGGAAAAACTATCTTGTGCCCTGGTTCTTGGTCAAGCTAGAAAATTATGGAATGTTGGAAACTAGCATAAATAAAATAATTTATGAAGTATCACCAGTTGTAACACTATAAACAAACTACTTAAAAAAACAAGTGAGCACTCCATCTGAGCAGCTTCCACACACCCATAGTCCATTCCACATAGAAAAAGAACTGCTTAAAGGAGCTCAACTAGAATTTAACTCTTGGTAGAGTGCTGCAAACCCATAAAACAGTGGGGGAAATTTTAAAATGCCCAATGAATTCTCAGAATATCTTCTTCACTAATGAATGTGTCTTTCTCTTTTGAGATGACTTACTTGATTCTTAGCAGCTACTCCAATTGCTCTGTTTTTGGACCCAAAAGACACCACTGACCTGAAAAGAGATTAATTTGACAATGATTAAAATATGCCATTTCCACTCCTAGGTTTACCAATATTTACAAATATAAAATGCATAAACTTCCAAGATTAAAAGTTACATTTGAAGCTCTTCTACAGTGTGATGGTTTAAAAAAAGGCTTCTAAATTCAGCTACATAATAATAATGTTTTAACTGTATTTTAATATAATGTTTTATCTTTTGTATAATGTTGCACATAATGTGTTGTATGTTGTCAGCATCAAATTGATGCCATTGTAAGCCACCCTGAGTCCCCCTTTGGGGGTTGAGAAGGATGGGGTAGACATGTTGGAAATAAATACATTGTAAATGCTTCTATGACTAAGTTCTGAAACTTCCCACTACTGTTTTATATCAGCATATGTAAAAATTACATGAGCCAGTGTGGGGTAGTGGTTTTGAGTGTCAACTATGACTCTGGAAACCAGAATTCAATTCCCTCCTGCACTAAGAGAACCCACTGGGTGATCTTAAGAAAGTAAAACATCCTCAGTACCAGAAAAACCCATGACAGGTTTGCTTTAGGGCCACCATAAGTTGAAAACAACAAAGTTAAAAAAACAAGTCTTAAGTTTAAAAAAATCAGATTACATACAATCTGCATATTTGTGCTTTCAATTAGTTTCTGACTCATGGCAACCCAAATATAGGATTTTCTGAGCAGAAGTTGTTCAGAAGGGGTCTGCCCTTGTCTTCCTGATTCTGAGTGTGTGAGACTTGCCCAAGGTCACTCAATAAGCTTCCATGGCCTAGTAGCAAAAAGTCAAACCCTTTAATCACAGGGACCTTCCGCACAGTATTATAACCCTAAGAATGAAGGCAAAAGATCCCACAATAACTGCTTTGAATTGGTTTATCTGAGTCCACACTGCCATATATTTCAGCTCAAAGCAGATAATGTGGGATTTTATTCAGCTGTGTGGAAGGGGCCCCAGAGTCCTGGTCCAACACAAGAATCACTATGTTGAATCCTGGTCTCCCAGTTCAACACTCAAATCCCCTGACCAGAGCTTTCCTTTAAACAATTTTTGTAGGTTTTTATTGAGTGAAATTAGTGGGATACAAAATATAAAAAGGAGAAACATCTACAAATAATCAAATACATCTAATTTACTTAGGAGATCGTTGGACGAGTAAGATGGTCTTCCATTATGGATTTCCTTGTGGGTCCGTATGTGGCTGTGGAGCCCTATTCTTGCTCTGCATCTTCTTCCGCAGTGGGGGCATTGGTTTCCAGGTGGAAGGCGGTCCCGGTCGGGGTTGGCTTGACGCGCCTTCCTCCTGGCACGTTTCTCTCTTCCACCCTCCACTCGTGCCTCCTCAAATTCTGCAGCACTGCTGGTCACAGCTGTCCTCCCGCTGGAGCGCTCAAGGGCCAGGGCTTCCCAGTTCTCAGTGTCTATGCCAGAGTTTTTAAGGTTGGCTTTGAGCCCATCTTTAAATCTCTTTTCCTGTCCACCAACGTTCCGTTTCCGTTCTTAAGTTCGGAGTAGAGCAACTGCTTTGGGAGACGGTGGTCAGGCATCCGGACAATGTGGCCGGCCCAGCGGAGTTGATGTTGGAGGACCATCGCTTCAATGCTGGTGGTCTTTGCTTCTTCCAGCACACTGACGTTTGTCCGCTTGTCTTCCCAGGAGATTTGCAGGATTTTCCGGAGGCAGCGCTGATGGAAACGTTCCAGGAGCTGCATGTGACGTCTGTAGACAGTCCACGTCTCACAGGCATATAGCAGGGTTGGGAGGACAATAGCTTTATAAACAAGCACCTTGGTATCCCTACGGATGTCCCGGTCCTCAAACACTCTCTGCTTCATTCTGGAAAATGCTGCACTTGCAGAGCTCAGGCGGTGTTGTATTTCGGCGTCGATGTTGACTTTGGTGGAGAGGTGGCTGCCAAGGTAGCGGAAATGGTCCACATTTTCTAATGTGACACCATTAAGCTGTATTACTGGCATTGGAGAGGGATTGGCTGGCGACTGCTGGAACAGCACCTTGGTTTTCTCAGTGTTCAGTGACAGGCCGAGCTTCTCATATGCTTCTGCGAAGGTGTTTAGAGTGGCTTGTAGATCTTCTTCTGAATGCGCACAGACGACATTGTCATCAGCATACTGGAGTTCTATAACAGCTGTTGTTGTAACCTTGGTTTTGGCTTTCAGTCTGCTGAGGTTGAATAGCTTGCCATCTGTCCAATAGATTATTTCCACTCCGGTGGGAAGCTTCCCATCAACAAGGTGAAGTATCATAGCGATGAAGATGGAGAATAGAGTTGGGGCAATAACACATCCCTGTTTGACACCTGATTCCACCTTAAATGGGTCACTTTGGGAGCCACTGCTGTCCAAGACTGTTGCCATCATGTCATCGTGGAGGAGCTGCAGGATGTTCACAAATTTGTTTGGGCACCCGATTTTGTGGAGGATGGTCCAGAGAGCGCTGCGATTCACTGTGTCGAATGCCTTTGCAAGGTCGATGAATGCCATGTACAGAGGTTGGTTTTGTTCTCTGCATTTTTCTTGGAGCTGTCGTGCAGTGAAGATCATGTCCACGGTTCCTCTGGAGGGGCGGAAGCCGTTCTGGGATTCTGGGAGGGTGTCTTCTGAGAGGGGCAGAAGGCGGTTTGCAAGGATTCTTGCGAGGATTTTCCCAGCGGAGGTTAGAAGGGGGATACCTCGATAGTTTCCGCAGTCTGTTCTTTCCCCTTTTTTGAAGAGGGTGATGATGGTGGCGTCCTTGAAATCTGCTGGGATTTTCTCGGTCACCCACACTTTTCTATGAGCTGGTGGAGTTGGTGTGTCAGCTCAGGTCCTCCCTCTTTAAAGATTTCAGCAGGGATCCCATCTGGTCCACTGGCTTTGTTATTCTTCTGTTGGCTGATGGCATTGCTGACTTCTTCCAAACTAGGCAGTGCTGCAAGCTCGTCCCTGGTTTGTTGCTGCGGGATTTGTGAGAGGACCTCTTCGGCCACATTGGAGCTGCGGTTCAGGAGGCTTTGGTAGTGTTCTTTCCAACGTAGTGCAATTGAGTTTTGGTCCTTCAGGAGTTTGGTTCCATCTGATGAGCGTAGAGGCTGTATCCCATGGTTTCTTGGTCCATAGATGACCTTTGTGGCTTTGAAGAATCCCTGAGCATCATGGGTATCTGCCAGGTGTTGGATTTCTTCAGCCTTCTTTGTCCACCAGATGTTCTTGAGTTCTCTTGTCCTTCTTTGGACCTCAGCTTTTGCACTGGCATAGATCTTTTTCTTAGCAACACAGTTGATGTCTCTCTGCCATGCTTGGAAGGCTTTCCTTTTCTTGTCAATTAGCTGTTGGATCTCGATGTCATTTTCATCAAACCAGTCTTGATGTTTCTTGGCTTGGTATCCAATAGTTTCTTCGCAGGCTTGGATGATGGAGGTCTTCAGTTTGTTCCAATGTTCCTCGACATTTTCGGGGTGTACTGTGGGTAGATGGTCCTTGAGTGCTGTTTGGAGATGGGCTCGTCTGGAGGGCTCCTGAAGGGCTTGGGTGTTCATTTTGCGCCTTGTCTTCCTTCCTTGGAGTCTGCGCTTGGGGGCGATCTTGAGAGCCATCGAGGATCGAATTAGCCTGTGGTCAGTCCAGCAGTCGTCAGCACCTGTCATGGCTCTTGTGAGGAGCACATCACGGCGGTCTCTGGCGCGTGTGATTACATAGTCTAAGAGGTGCCAATGCTTTGACCGGGGGTGCTTCCATGATGTCTTGAACTTGTTTTACTGGCGGAAGAGCGTGTTGGTGATGACAAGGTTGTGTTCCGCACATTTGGTGAGAAGCAGGATGCCATTTGAGTTGCTGTTTCCAACCCCGTCTTTTCCGATGGTCCCTGGCCACAGGTCGAAGTCTCGCCCGACTCTTGCATTGAAGTCCCCAGGAGGATGATTTTGTCCTCCTTAGGTATCCCCGATAGGACGGTATCCAGCTGACAGTAGAATTTCTCCTTGATGTCTTCGTCAGCATCTAGTGTTGGTGCATAGGCACTTATGATGGTTGCCCGTTGGTTTTTGGCAAGATCGATTCGGAGGGTTGAGAGTCGTTCGTTGATGCCAGTGGGTGCTTCGGACAGATGTTTCACCAGATCATTCCTGATGGCAAAGCCAACTCCGTGCATTCTTTGGTCTTTTTCGGGCAGTCCCTTCCAGAAGAAGGTGTAGCCTCCTTTTTCTTCCTTCAGCTGTCCCTCTCCTGCTCTCCGGGTCTCCTGAAGGGCTGCTATGTCGATGTTGAAGTGTCCCAGCTCCCTTGCAATGATGGCAGTTCTGCGTTCGGGGCGTTCACTGCCACTGTTGTCCATCAGAGTCCGTATGTTCCACGTACCGAAGTTCATTTTCCTTTTTTGGCCGCAGGGTGGTGACCCCACTGGACGCGGCAGTCCAGTCAGGGATAAGTGAGGCAGACTATGTTTAGGGCACCTTTTCTAGCCCCCTCCCCATGTGGGGTGAGCAGAGTGGGTCCTCAATAGGGCTGCTCAGTCGCGGATACAGCTGCCGAACTACTCAACTGCCTCGGACCTTGAGGTAGAACGACTGAGTCCGTACCCACCGCCCATGTGCCAGTCTGTGACTAGGGGCTTCCAGATTTCACAGTCCTGCCCCCGTCGCCACTCGCTGATCGCCATGGGACTTTGGTTGCTTGGTTTTTGTTTTCTTTGGAAGACGCCTGTGCGTGGGTTTTTTAATGTGTGGAGGTCAGTGCACAACTGATCAACACACAGACTTCACAGAGTGAGGTTCCACTGGTGATGTAGTTTAACACAATGACCGTGGCTTCTCAGTCTGTTGCAGCCTTCTTCCGCCTTCGCAGCCGTTGTAACATGTGCCATGTTATCCTCCGCCTGCTCCGCCGTTGAGGTCTTTGGGTCTTCGGACTGTGCTTGGTCTGGAACCTCCCCCGCGGCCACTCCTGGGAGTGCATGACTCCAGTTGTTGTGCCTACAGGTTCATTGGAACGCGCAAGCCCC